AGGTTAAGAATAGTAGATAAAAAAAATAGCTTAGCTACTGGTCTTTATAGGACTCATTGTAGGCTCATTGTTAATACTACACTTATTCATTTTTAGTTCTTTTTCTCTTTCTCTTACTTTAAATGCTATTGTTGGATTGGTTGTTGCTTTCATTCCTTTCACTCTTCCCACTAAATATAAAGTTTTATTAGACTAGTCTTTATTAAATTTAATGCAACAAAATATATTAGTGAAATAAAAAGAAGCGCTTGTTAATGCTTACAAAGTAACTTGTATTCTTGCTGATAAGACTGGAACTATTACTATGAATTAACTTACTATTACCCATCTTTTCTATGGTTAAAATTTGTTTAAAACAGCTGAGAATAATTTTGATGAAGGTGAAAATTTCAACCCTGATGACTAAGATTTCTAAAATCTATATAAAAATGCTGCATTGTCTTGTAATGCAAAATTCGTTTTAGAAGGAGATCAAAATAATGTCGATTATTCTACATGCAAAATGCTTGGTGGAGTAAGTGATTAAGCTCTTTTAAGATTTTTACATAGTATAAAGAACGTTGATAACTTTAAAAAGAGCATTCAGTATGCCAAAAATATAGAAGGTAAAGCAGCTAAGTTAGAACTTAACTCAATTAACAAATACAAATTTTCTATTGTTGAAGAAGAAGTAGAAGATAGTCACTATGTTGTTTACTTTGAAGGTGCTGCAGAAAAAATTATCTCACTTTGCTAATTCTACATGAAAAATAATTCTAAATTAGAAATTGATAGCGCTTTTAAAGAAAATGTTTTAAATTGTTTGGAATAACTAGGTAAAAAAAGCGAAAGAGTTTTAGGTTTCGCTAAATTACATCTTCCAGCAAGCTAATTTCCTAAAGGACATGTCTTTAAATTTGCTGATAGAACAGATTTACCTTTTTCTGTTGAAAAACTGACATTCTAAGGACTTTTTAGTTTAAAAGATTAAATAAAACCAGAAGTCAAATCAGTAGTAGAATTTGCTAAGTAAATTGGTATCAGAACAATATTGCAGACAGGAGACTCGCAATTAACGGCTCAATATACTGCTCGCGCAATTAATATTTTACCTTCAAATATT